CTGGGATGGGGCTGCTGCCACCTCCCTGACCCACAGGGGGACAGGGCCTGTCTGACTCTTGCAGGGGTTTTTGAAATACTGCATTTGTATTCTAAATTTTCCTAATAAATAACTGTTATTCCCCTTCCCATATCTTTGCCTGAGAGCCCCTTAATTTCAAAATTATAATAATTCAGAGGGAGGGGGTTTGCATTTTCCATTTCAGGGGAGGCTCCTGCCTTCCTTAGCAGACACCTGGCTTTTCAAACCAAGACACTCAGTAGCCAAAACTTCTATCCTTTATTTTTTTCTTTGAAATCTTATCTTTATTTTGTTAAAAAAAAAAAAAAAAGTTTGCATTGGTTATGTGATAGTTTCTGCGACTCTAGCTGTAGTTCATTCAAGAGGTTTTAATCTGTTTGAGGTTTTTCACTTTCCTGCAAATTGCTTTTTTGAGCCCTTTTATGTTATGTGGCTTTTCTCTACAGGCTATTTATAGGAACACACCTGTGGTAAAGGGAAGAGAACTTTCTAGCATTTCAAATAAATGTCTAGCACTCAGTTTGAAGTGCAAAGCTAGTATGTTTATATGCAAATGAAGTGCAGTTTTTATTTCCAAAGCCTCTCTTGTCAAACTTGTGTGTGGAGGCACTTGGGCTATGCCAGACAGCCAGAACTAGGCTAGACTAACCTTACCTAGCAGAAGGAGTTAAGCATCTCACCCCCCATTAGGCTCCAAGACCACAACCTCTCTGCACACAAAGGAGGATGAATTCCACTCTCAGAGGAGCAAGCCAGAGTGCTTTTCCCCCTGGGGAGAAAGCTGGGCTGGCAGCATGTGGCAGCAACTCCACCTTCTGCAGCATCCCAGACCCTGAGAGCAGGATAAATTGGTTCTATTTTAAATATTAATCATATGCTGATAGTAAGGGCATATAATCCACATGCAAAGGGGAAACAAGCTGCAACTGATTGAGCTTACCCCCATTACTGTTCTCTTCTGATGCCAGATTTGAGGATGGCAAATTAGCTTTGAGGCAAAGACCACTTCTGCAGTGGAATAAATAAGGAAGTTTGCTCAGTTGCCTTTTCCAAAGGAGGACAGACAAAGCCATGTCTTCACAAAGGGACCTTTTCTTCAGCAGCATAAAACAAAGTTCTCTCTCTCAAAGGTCTCAAAGGCTGGCTAGCCTACTGAAATAAAGTGTTCAGCCGGACAGATTAGGAGAGATGAGAACAAAATGGAGCTCATAAAGTAACCCACATGTGCAGTGTAACAGCTGCTATGAAGTCATTATGATATCAATGCCTACACAAATACACACACATTTTTTTCATATATACACATGGGGAGAGAGGGCACCACACCGAGGAGGAGTCAAGTTCCACTCTGACACCTCTGGTCCAACTCATGGGATGCCTTTTCTTTGGTCTTAAAATTAAGAGCAAGGCATAGTTAAGGGATAAAAGGTCTTCATCTTGGTATTTAATGAGGATCCTTACGGTGCACCGCTTTGCCAAGGTGGAGCACACTGAAATGCATACACTCGATGGATCACGTACACAATTTTATAGCCTCTACAAATCAGCCTATCTAACAAAGTTACCTTAATGAGAGGCTTGATGAATAGCATCCCATCCATCCCAAAGCATTCTTCCCTGGATGGGCCTAATCCTAGTTTACAGGATGTGTCTTAGGGGGAACCTTGGTTTCTCAAGACAGCTCAGGGTTTTCTGGCCTCCAGGTGCCTTTAGGATGTTTGGTATCCTGGGCTAGCAAAACACCAGGATTATGCTAGGTTATCAGACTTAAGGAATAACAAGTGTGCATGCTACCGAGAACTGAGAATACACAAAAGGCATATAAAAGAAAATGCAAACAGTGGTACTGGCATTTCATGGACATGAAGTACCCAAAGATGACACTGTCGAGCAGCAGTTCTCCTGCCAGCACCAGCACTGCCCAAACTGAGACACTGAAGCAGAGGTGGGGATCCCTCCCAGCGTTTTCTTCAGTTATTTTTCCCTCTTTCTCAGCATCACTCACTTCATCTCCATGCTAAGCCACTCAATAGTTCAAACTGGGACTTTGGTGGGAGCTGTGTGGACCTTGGGACAGCAGCACTGCTGACAGCAGTTCTCATGCCCTCAGATCTCAGTGCCAGGTTAGGGGACACGGGCTGGGGACATGGACAGGCACACCCTGGCAGTGCCCTGGGGCTGGGATGGAGGAATGCCACTGCCTGCAGAAACCACAGGGGAACCAAGCCAGGCAAGAGGAGAGCTGTGGGTGTGGTGGCTGCCATGGCCAGGTGGGACACAGCCCTCAGCTGGCAGCTCAAGCAGCCTCAGCCCTGGGACAGGAGCCACTCTGGCCATGCTGTGAGGGACCAGAACTGGTCCCACTTCTCTGCAGTCCTTTGAGAGGCGCCTTATTGGTGCACTGCTCTGAAAACAGCTAAACGTGCTTGGCAGCACATGAGCTGAAAGGGGAAAGGCCCCCAGTGCAAAGATGGCTGTCGGAACCTGAGGTATTGATGATTCTGAGATTGTAGAAAGTCTCTGTCTGTCAGCCCCACTGCCAAAGAAGAAGCCATAATTGGTCTGTGCTGTTTCAAGGTTGTTTATTCTGTTTATCTCTAACATGTTCTGCTGCCCTGCCGCAGCTCTGTCCTGCAGGGCAGCGTGTGGGGCTCTGCCCTCAGTGGGATGGTACAAACATTAAATACCACAAACTACCTGTGCTGGATTTACAATAACGTGCCAATATCTGTCACCTACGTTGGACAGTGTGTCCCCAGCCTGAACCAACAGAAAAATGCCAACACCACAGTGAAACATGGAGGGCATGAAGAAGGAGAAAAAGGACAAGACACACCCAATTTCCTCCATCTTGTCCGCTTTGAACCTTTTATCTAGAATCTTAAAATTTTACTTTTGCACCCGTGCCACACTTAATTATTACTTATGTAACACACTCAGAGCTTGTAATTCATCCTGTAAGATTGAAAACTCTTTTCCATGGACAGAGATCACAGACAGTGTCTCTGGGGGCTCTGTCCAGGGAGGTTCCTGACCCCTGCCAGGGTCCCAGACCTGCCAGGGCAGCCAGAGGGAAGCCCTGGACTCCCACAGATGGCAGGCATTGATGAAACAGGGCACAGCTCAGGTCTGGAAAATGTTCCTTTTAAGCCAGTCCGGGGTCTTCATTTCACACTTATCCATTGCAGTTACAGGCTTGAGTGAGTAGGGCTTTCTTTCCAGAAAAGCCAGTCCCTACACTGAGGAGGGATGGATGAGTAAAAGCTGAAGGAAATGGAAAAAAATGTGCTTGCCACACAAGTCAACTCCTTCTCAAAGCAAGGCATTCAACAGAACCGAGTCTTTCAGAAAGTTGTGCATCGAGAGTGCAGAAGCCCTGCAGACGAGGCAGCTCCCAGCCCTGGTGCCAGGCTGGCTGTGGGAAGTTCAGAAATGAGTGTGCAAGGCACAAGTGTGCCCTGCACTGCTGCTCCTTTCCTGTGCCAGCCTGCAGTGATGGCTGGGCACTTGTACTGCTGGTCAGTGCTCTGGTAGTGCATGGAGGAATGAAAATGCAGAGGAAATCATTTTCATTTTGTGTTTCCCTAGTGCCTTGCAAAGGCTGAGAAGAAAATGTTTTCTATGGGAAAAAAATCTGGATAACATCACTTACCAGAGTTTATATGGTGAAGATGGGTGAGCATTGCACAACTCTGATCTGATCACTGCCTGTGTCAGGAAAAATAAATAGTGTGCAAGAAGCAGGCACTGGCACTGGAGTGGTGAGGCAGAGCAGGTGGATGTCCTATTTACTGCTCCCACAGCAGCCTTAGTGCTCAGGAGGCCTGCTGGGAGCTGGGTGGCCTTCTGCACAGGTGCTGGCTTGTATCCCCACCATCCTAAGCAGCAGGTCCTTGCTTCCCCTGGCTGACTGTGGGATTAGCTGGCAGTTTCATCCCAAGCCTTGGGTCATGCACACCCCCCTGGCAGTGCCACGGCTCAGTGGGCACAGCACCTGCCCCAGCAGCAGCCCAGAGCCCCCTGGCCTGCAGCTGGCACAGGTGGCTGTGCTGGGAGCCCTGGGGCAGACTGCAGAGCTCAGGGGTGCAGGAAGCTCTGTGTCTATTCTTGCACTGTTTCACTACAGATGAACTTGCAGCTTTACTGGCTGCCTCTTCCTATGAACACTCAAGAAATATTTCTAGCCTAGTGCTAAGCCCCCCAGCTTTGCTTTGGCCACACACAAGCTATTCTGTCCCTGCCTAGAGGAGGAATGGACTGGCCACGAGGCACATGTGCTCACTGGCACCTGGCTGGCTCTGGCCATGTCCAGCTGGCCTTGTAACCTCTGGAAGACAAAAACTGAACTGGAAAATGGGGTCATCAGCTGGGGACTGTGGGTATCTGAAGTCACTGAGGAGATGGCACCATGCATGCTTGCTGTTCTGATGGTGAACTTTTGAGTCAGGCACAGCTGGAGATATTCTGGACCATGATTTTGCTCACTCAACCATATTGATATGAGGTTGGCTACTCACCAGGCTGCCCAGTTCCTTTTCTCTCATCACACAACCCTGATGAGCCTTTGTAAGGTTTCTCAGATGTAGAAATAAACCTACCCTCATAGCTGGCCAGCTCCAAAAAAATATACTTTTCCCTCCATTTGGGCTGCCTTTAAGTCCTTGCCTCATCTTGAGGAGGCTGAGTGTGGTTGTTCCCTACAAAATACAGCAGTTCCCAGGTTTTCTGGCTTCAAGTTTTGCAGTCTCCTGAGCTCAAAAAAAAAAAAAAAAAAAAAAAAAAAAAAGGCTCCATGAGAAACAACCCCTGTGCTATTCAAAGCTCCCAGCTGCACAGTTAAGATAGCTCACTCTTTGTTAGGCTTTGGCTGCTTAGGAAGGTGAAGAAGGGGTACTGAGCACTAGTGTGGAGTGGAAGGTTTCCAGATAAACACAATTCTACTCCAACACAAGTGCAAACAACAATTTTTAAGACACCACTGAAAATTAAGCTTGTTCTTTTATTTACTTGCACCTTAGACAGAAAGAACATCACAGTACATCTTCAGGTAGCTGAGAGCATCATAAGCTCTTGGCATTTTCCTTTCCAGGGTGTTTCTGCTGCTCAGCTGGAGTTGGATGAAGTCTCCAGGATCTCCCCTCTTACAAGAAGGCAGCAAATCCCTTTTGGGTTTGCAGGCTGTGATAGCCTGCTCAGAACAAGACTTGTTGGCTTAGCTCACTGCGGCTGTCCAGTCTTTGATGCCTTTAAAAACACACCAAAATATCAGAAACCATTCACAGCACAGCAGAAAAGACACCTTAGAGCCAGGTGTCTAAGTTCATCAGCTTTCCAATTCCCCACTGCATGCAGCACTCTTCCCAAGGACAAGGACAGTTTCTTACTCACCTCCCAGCTCTCTGCTGAGCAATGTCTTTTCCTGACTCATTTTACTCTGGATATTTAAGTCTTGTTATCTGAGATGATATTTTATATCTATCTAGGAGAACAAATCACACATTCATTCAGAATGTCCCAGAAACACATGGACTCTTCCTGTGAATTTTGATTAATTTGCATTTGAGCATCCTAATTCTAGGTCTGAAGCCCAACTCATTCCATTCTGGCCATTAAGTACAAGCAAACAAATAATTCAGGCATTTGTGAAAGCTGGACCTCAAAGCTGCTACGATATATTTTCCACTTAAGAAGAGCAGAAGAATTCATGTTGGTGTAATGCAAATGAAAGTGGTTTTGCACTGTATGAACACGTTTCCTCTGAAAGAGAATTTTTATTCCTTGAAAACAGCAAATGCTGGTGTGTGACTTAGCAAAAGCATCACTTATGGCACCAAGAGGATAAAAAGCAGAGAAAGTTCAGCAAACTTCAAAAAACAACAAACCAACCAACAAACCCTACTCACCTTTGAACATTATGAATTTTTTGGTCATACCTTTTCTATCAGTTGGATTATGGTTCTTCCAGTTTATATTCATTTGCTAGCTGGAACATAATACTGGGAAACAGATAAAGTTGTTAAGATTCCTGTCTCTAGGTAGCACAAAAAAACATACACTCAGTGCATTTTATTGGTTAATTTAAAAAACCTGAAGTCCTTCTCCTTCCCCTTGAAAACCTCAGAGCCATGCAGCCACCTGGATCCCCAAAACACAGCATTTGTCAGGCAGCAGTGCTGGGTGAAAAGGCACTGGAGCACAAAGGACTCACTGAAATAATTCCTGCTGGGCTTTTTCACGTTAGCACCTGAGAAACTCCAAAAGCATTCACCAGGGAAGGGGGAAACAAGCCTTAATTTCTTAGCCAATAATGTATCTGCCAGCCTGGGACTGAGTCATTCAGAACTTGCCCTCATTAAATATGCTCTAAATGGAAGTTGTCCTCATTCAAGCCAAAAAAGCCAACTTGCAAAAAGATTTATGTGCACACCAACAAATGACTTACTCACCTATGAGTGGTGAACCCACATGTATCACAAAAAAATTGCCAACTTAGCAAACATACAGTTGATGCGTGCAGAAATGCTGATTTTTTGTCTAGGTCTGATGCACCCAGTGACACTAAGTGAGAAGTTCACAGAGCCACAAGGAATGAAGCTAGTGCTGGCAGTGAAGGCAGCACAAAGTATTGCATTCATTTTTAAAGGAGGATGCCTGTGGCAAGAAGTTTAAAGAAGCAATCCTATTTCAGCTGCAACATGGCGCAGAATAACTTGTTCAAAAGTCACTCAATTGTAGGGTGTTTGCTTTCTGCTAATATTTAGTTGCACTCTTAAGTCTCTTTCTGTGACTCCAAATTCATTTCAGTCTGTTGCTGAGTTGGAGGCAGACCACAGTTCTGAGAAGACAGAAGTTGCAAAGCCCTTGAAACCTCCCAATTCCAGAATATGTTTCCGAAATGCTATGAATCATATTGCCTTCATTTCCTCTGCCACACTGTTTTCTGAGGAGGTTTACCTAAACTTTGTTTGGTGTTCTGCTTTTTTTTTTTTTTTTTTTTTCCAAATCCCATTTTTAAGTGAGACAAGAAGAAAGTTGCAGGTTTTTTTTCTTCTCCTACCCTGTGGTATGAATGCTGATGCTACTTTTTCTCCAGAAAGATGAAATTACCTCCAAAGCCAGGCTGCAATTTGAAAACTGTCACTTAGAGCTGCATTTCTTCCTGTATTTTTCTGCAAAGGGTTGCAGCATGTCCACAAGTCACGAGAGGGGCTGTCAGCACTAGCAAGGGAGTTTCACACTTCAGCCAGAGAGGTTCCAGAAAGCCTTGGAAGCTCATCTCAAGAACAGTGTGTTTGGCTCATGTGTGGCTCACATGTGAGGCACTCGTTTGCTGCTCCGTGCACCTCAGTCCTCTCACAGCTAAACATTTGTTTGCCAGCCTGCAGTTATGAATCACACACCTGAGCTGGCTAAAAGTGGCCCATACCCCTCAAATAGTTTAACAGCTGCACGTGTGGAAGTAGCTGTACCTCTCAGAAGCCTCCGAGTGCTTCACTACTGATCTCCAGTATGCAAATGGAGCAGAAACTGGGGGAAGAAACCCTATTTTTATTACAACCTTTCCTACAACTTTCCACTTTCTAGCCCCTCCCCAGCTCAAGGAATAATTGAAATTTGGAGGTAGCCACCACAAGCTCACAAAAGCTCCCATCTGTATCACACAAGGTAAAGGCCGGGCCAAACCCCCTGACTTAGAGAGGAATTGCTCCCCACCCTATTTTGACTACTGACTGGAAACAGCTGAGGATTTAAATCTTTACACTTTTTCCACCTTCACTTGCTTATGTAAGTAGGCATAGAACATATTTTGAGAAGGGGAAAAAAAAAAAAAGAGAAGAAAAGAAGGATGTGGTTGGTTATGCCGCTTAGCAAACTGGTAAGGCACGGTCTGTAAGAAAACACTCCCGTGCTCTGTAGAGCAGCCTGGACTGAAGCAGTGCTGCTGATCTGCTTGCCAGGGCTCAGGTAAAGTAATTCCTCTTTTAGTTATTGACTTTATTTTGCCAACAATTTAGTAGCAGCATTGATTGTAGACACTGTTTTTAAGCTGCTTAGATGATTGTTACTTAGAAAGTTCAAACAATAAGCTCAAACATTGTTTTGTTTAGCTTAGAGAAGAAAGATTTCTGCTTTAGTGATAAATATAAATCTATTCTGTTATAATCAAAATATTTAGAAAAAAATGGTAAGAAATTATCCAGCTGCAAATGAAATACATGTATATCCATGCAGATGAAATACAGGAGTGGGACCTGCTGCTCATTGCACTGAACCATCTTACTCTTCTCTAGTGCATCCACAAGAGAATAAATTATATTTAACATAAATAATGTTCTAGGAAATAGATATAAACAAAGCATGTTTCTGCTAATGAAACTTTCATGGATAAGAACATCCTTAGTGTAACATCTCTAACCTGTGATCTCGTACAGATTTCTGTGAATCCCAGCTAGAGCCAGATTAACTCAGGTCCAAGCTGCAAAGAGGAAACCATTCATGAATTCTGCTCTACTGCAAAAAAAAACCTAGTGGAGCTATTCCTGTAAAACCTTGCTGTTCATTTCCTAGGTCTGAACAGCTTTGCTGCTCACTAAACCAGAAGCTCCTGCTATGGCAAAACCCAATTAATATTTAATGAGTTCAAAGGAAGTAGAAAAATCCTCAGCAGGAGAAACTGAGGCCAAATGGAGCAGCGACAACACAGAGGCTGGACCAGCTAAGGCACACTCTCCTCAGTACTGTTAATTACAGGTTCTTATATTATCTTTTGGTTTCTAGGAGTTATCTGAAACAATCCTAAAGCCACAGGAGATTCCTTCAAAAAATCTGTTGAAGACAGAAATTTTCCTCGGAAGACTGGAAAAGAGCAAACGTGGTACCTCTCTTAAGAAGGTGGAGAGGAAGGGGTGGAAAAACTAGATCTGTAATCCTGGCTTTAGTATTTGGAAAAAACATTGGAATTGCCCACCAAAGAATCTGTTTGTAAGCATGCAGAACTCAAGTCAGTGGTAAGTAAAAATCTGCAGAGATTAATCTGAGAATGACTGAAATAGAAGTAATTTGACTTCCTCTGTGAACCCGTCAGCAAAGGGAGATGGGGCTGTAGGAGGGGGAAACAGGCTTCACACACTACCTCTAAAGAACTTCTCATAAGCAAAGGAAACATGAGCAGTATGAAACGTCTGTATGATTCGTGGTACCCACTGAGATTCTAATCAGTGTCTGCTCTGTAGGAAAGATGTCTCCAGTACAGTTCAGTATCTTTCAGGATGAGTATTAGCAGTACTTTTACTAATAATTTGGACAATGCAGTAAAGATGATGCTTATGAAATGACTGCAAGGTTATTTGTCAAGGAAAATGATTCTTCAAGTGAACCCTAAGCAAACGTCACTTAGTCTGGAATAGTTGCACAATTCCCACGGATTACTCAAAATGTGAAGTTTAGATTTGAGACATTAAGTGATAAAAAAACCACCATATTTTTGACAATCAGACAATTATCAATTTAAAGGCTCTTTTCTTGAAATGAATCATTGTCTGGAGTAATGCTACATGTAATTCAGTATCAATGAATTCTACAGAAAAGGTATTTGGTGAGCTAATGGTGCAATGAAAGTAGCACCAAACTGTTGCAGCAGACACTAGGGGTAGAAATGAGCCAAGACACAGACTCTGATTCAATAACATGAAAAGGGTTCTGGTTTATTCTTTAGAGCTTATCCATCCTGACTCTGACTACAGCAACCTTCTTCTGTTGGCTTCTCTGGCAGGCTCTGGCTGCTGGCTATCCCTGCTGGAATATGACTGCAAGTCATACCTAGCTTGAGTGTGACTGCAGGCTCCAACTCTATCAGACCCAGACTGACCTCACGGCAGATCTTCTGCAGCAGCAACTCTCCTCCTTGTTTTGTTCTTCTTTGAGTCTCTCTGGATCATTCCTTCTTCCTCGGGCTCCTCTTCTTCCTCCAGGCTCTCCCTGACTGGCCAACCCACCCCTTTTGTCACACTTCTCTTTATTAGTCACAGCTTCCACGCACTGAGGGCAAGGCTCTTCTTCTTTGGTAATTAGTACAACTGTGATTTATCAGGGCTGAGGTCACTTGTAATCCCTTCTTCTACACCTCTACCAAACCTCAGACTTTGAAGAGTCATCATGCACAGTTTTCTGATACATTTACAAAGGACACCAAGTTGCTGGGTTGACAGGTGTGTCACTACCCCAAAATGTTTCCTGTCACCTGATGTTCTCCCCAGGTGGTGGGTGCCCTTGGCCACAGGACACCCGTGCTCACACTAAAGCTGGTGTTCCCATGTCCCCTTCCCTGTCCTGCCCCTCGGTGACAGCAGCATCTGCCCAGAGTGAGCCCCTGCACACACTGCACCAGCTCAGCTCCATGTTCTGTGTGATTTTCTCACTTCTCACACACCACAAACATGTGATTTTCCAAGTAGCTGCCACATATTGCTGGCTCAAGTGGGCTGATTTAACCTCACCTTGATGACCAAAGGAAGTTTTTCCCTTTTGCTCTCATTTCTGACAGATAAATCCAGCGATAACATCCAGCTTTCCTTTTGCTGTTTCCTGAGTTGCAGCGCTGTGATGCCCAGCTCAGGTGGCTCTGTCCAGCTCTCTGTGGGTGACAGTGACACCCAGCCCCTCCCCAGAGGTGACCCTCACTCCTACAGCGGGTCACACAGCCAAGGACAGTCTCAGGCCCTTAACAACCCCATCCAGTCTGTTTGTAATCCTCACCAGCTTTCAGACAACCATTTCCCTGCCTACTGAAGAGCCCTTGTTCCAAACCCTGCTTTTTCTGCTAGCCGCTTGTTTCTAGTACACTTTGCTGAAATGCAAGTGCCTAAAATCCTCTGCCTTTCCCTTAGATGAAAAAGCAGACACTTCATCAAAGATAAGGGTCTGGTAAGAGCTCTCAAAGACTTATTTAGCAGTTTTCTTTATAAATCCACGTGAAGCTTAAGCTCATCAGTTACAGAATTGCTTTAATCACATTTGACACTCTTTCCTACAACAGATAGATTAGACTGAACCTTTTCCAGCCACACTGATAACATCCATGTCTCATAATAACTGCTGGGCTGGACCTTCAGCTTTATGTGCCTGTTCTTTCTGTAGTCTGAGCTGGAAATTAATGTTTCACTAATAGGAGCATGTTAAACTCTGAGTGCATTTTGTGTTCAGATACAATTATTTCCATTATCACTCACTGATTCCCACAAGCCATCCCACATCTGACCTCCAGCACAATGTCAATGAATTCTTATGGAATTAGTGGTATAAGAGTTGGCAAAATGCAAGGCTGTCTCCTCAGCTGTTCTCTGTTTCTCTATATTTTTTTTTAAATATTTTATTTTAGCCACCAAAAAAAAAAAATCTTTCACTCTTTGGTTTTGGTTTCTTTAGTAAAGTTTAGATTCATTTGGCAGTGCTTAAGAGCTGTCACTTGTCATCCTCCAAAGCAAAGATTCTCCTCTTGATCAAACTCTTCTTAAAACACCTTCACTTACTCCTAAAATTTCTTTTGAGCTACTTGGTTGGCTGAACTGGACTGGGAACTTCAACTACCAATTTCTTATGCTTTATTAGGACTTTTTTTGGTTTTGATTTAAAGAGATTATAAAAAGCACTTTTAAGGCGTAGTTTGTTAAAGCCTATGTATATTTTTAAAAACAGTGATAACATTCAAGATAAATCAATTTGTTTAAGAATTGCATTATGAAGACGTCATGGCTTCCACTTGCTAATCTTTGCTGGATTGTCTAAGATAATCAGTTAAAATTTAAACTGCTAACCACAGATTTAAACAATGCTGAAAGTTAAGCACAAGTGAAAAAATACGCTTACTCATTTTGCACCTAGATAAAAGATCAGTCTTCTTAAACTGACCTTTTAAAATACTGCACTGGATATAAGCACTGTATGAAACTAAAATATCATATAAATATGGGTGCAGTAAAAGCACATCAGCAAAAGCTACTGATGCATGAGGATTTAGATATAAGAGCTATCCCAGATATCAGATCAACATACCTTAATATGGAATAATAATTTCATTAATTTCTGCATAGCATCAAAACTAAGCACATATGTTAGGGAAATTTCAACAGGTGTACAAATTATTAAAATTAGCCAGTAGTCTTCAGAGTTTTTGAAAATTTATGTTAGAAGGAGTCAGTCCCTTCAATATCTGAATTGGAGTCTCTTCCATGGGATGGTAATCAGTGGATGCTGACTACTTTCCCCTGAGAATCAGACTCCTTTGTGACATAACAAGCCAGTCAAATTGGAAATAGAAAGCTCTGTGCTTGGCAGGTTTCACTTTCTGTAATAGACAAGGCTGACCAAATGTCCAGCTCAAGACCAAAAACTTCTAGAACTGTGTTTGAAAGGATCTTGGTTTGGCTTTATCATGGCATTAACTGTGAGTCTTACACATTTCCAACTTGCTTTCTTTGTCATTTCAGGGCAGAAATGACCAGCAGCAGTGAGAATTGCAGTTTTACAGCCATCAACAGCTTGGCATGGAGCCTGCAGCTGGGGCTCTCCATCCCCACCTTCATCCTCGGGCTGGCTCTCAACAGCCTGGCCCTGTTTGTGTTCTGCTGCTTTTGGAGAAAGCAGACCAAGACCTCGGTGTACATGATCAGCCTGGTGCTGGCAGACATCCTGCTGCTGCTCTCGCTGCCACCAAAGCTGTACTACTCTGTCACCAAGGTGCCTGGGCTGCTCTGCTCCCTCATACAGGCTCCTTACTTCGTCAACACCTACACCAGCATCTTCATCATCGTCTGCATCACCGTGGACAGGTACATCTGCATAAGGCACCCCTTTGAAGGTCGAGCTAACCAGTCCCCCAGGTGGGCCGTGGTGATTTGCTGCTTCATCTGGGCAGCAGCTTGGATCTGCAGCATCCCAATTTATGTGTTTCAGAAGAAGGAACCTATTAAATGCTTTCACAACATGTCAGACCAGACGTGGAGTGTGCCCTTCATTGTTTCTGTGGAAGTGTTTGGGTTTCTGATCCCTCTTGCAGTGATGGTTTTCTGCTCTGCCCAAACCATCTGGATTCTTCTGAATCACAAAACCCATGACAAAAAGAGCGTGGAAGAGAGCGGCTCATTGCGAGTGATCGTCATCAACCTGGTGGTGTTCCTGGTGTGCTTCACCCCCGTCCACCTTGGCATCCTGCTGCAGTGCCTGGTGAGGCAGCACCTGATCGTCAGCTGCAGGATGAGGCAGGCCATCAGCCTCTTCCTCCAGGTGTCCATGACATTTGCCAACCTGAACTGCTGCCTCGATGCCTTCTTCTACTACTTTGCAGCAAAGGAATTCTGTAAGAAAGCACACCTGAGGAGGGCCATTGAGCTGTGTCCTGTCCTTAACCCCTGTGCCCTGCGATGGCACTGCCAGCGCTGGGAGAACGCCCCGTGCCAGGACACTGACAGTGCTGTGCCTGACGTGGCAGGGCCTGTGCCCTAGGGAGAAGGACAGTGATTTCCAGGGAATGCAAAACTGTTCCATATTTTAATTCCCTTTAAAGATGAAGGAGAGAAAAGTTAGATGAAGGAACCAGCATTAGCAAAGTGACAGACTAACCCCAAAAGAAGCATTAGCCTCAAGAGTATCTACCAAATGTGAAAAGCTTGCCAGAGGAAAACTAAAACTAACCAGATCATGGGAATCCCTTTTAGCATCAGCTTTGGTCATAGCTGCACCCGTTTTCCCTTTATGTATGTGATCAGAAAGGTGTTGCTAAGAGCAAAACCAGAAATATTCATAACCTTTTTAACTTAGAATGCACCTTGGCAGTTTAAAAGCAGCATCCAGCCAAAAGTCTGACTCTGCAGAAGGTCACTGTTGGAGATCCTCTGCTTTGGACAGCCTGGGGCAGCAGTGAATCCTCCCTCCTGGAAGCATCCTGGACTGCACAGGGCTGCTAGGAGGGACAGCAGTTTTTGCTCTTTCATGGAGGACTTGCTGCCCAGAAGAGAAACCCAAGGGACTATCTCAGGTACCAACCATTCCTGAGCAACAAACTTTCCTGATTACCCGTGCTGAAGAATCATTGTGGCTTTCTTCTGCAATTTTAAATCAGGTTTTGCCCATGTAAATCAAAACAACCCATTCAAATATGAGATTTAAAGAACGACTGAATGTGTCGAACTGGGTTTCTACATCAGCACATTTCTATCAAAGATGTAATGTAGCATATGTACGAAATTCTTCTGCCTGTCTTCTCATTCTTTCTTGGAGCAGGGGAATGAAGAAAGCAAAGCCTGCATCACAGAAGATTGTTGATGATTTCCTCTCTCCCAGCTAGAAGGCTGGACCAGCTCTGTCCAGCTCATTCCTTAGGGAAATCCTTCCAGCTTGTACTGTACACTTCTCCAAGAGTCTCTGGGCTTGCCTGAACTCTTCAGCTCAGCACTCTGGGCTGTCACTACCCTAATGCCATTTGCAAGTTTGGCTCTGACTCTGATCTAAAGGTTTGTTGAAATTTAAGCCAAGCGTTTCTTGAACCCTTATCTGGGCATGGTTGGTGCTCATAGCCAGAAACACTTTCACAAAAAGGAATAATTTTCTTTGCCTTTCCTAGAACAGCTGTGAAAATAGTCTGAGACTGTTGGCAGTCAAGTTTCTGGGACAGGTATTCCATTTATTCAAAATGCGAAAAGAAATTATCTTCTCTCTGTAGCAAATTAAAAAGAAAGGGGTCCAGTTTTGAAAATACAATTTGCTGTCCATCAATTTCCATAGAAATGATTGACTGTGCAAGAGGGCAGCTGCACATATCTTATAGTGGGATTGTGAACATTTTAAAACTTTTTAGTACTAAAACTATGGCCACAGCTGAGGTGAAAAAATATTTTTAGCATCATCTTTACTGCTTTCTGTAAAGGAGCAAGAGGAAGAGCTTTCCAAAAGAGTATATTTTCTAAACATTATTGAGTGCCTCCATCACTCAGAAACTTACAGATTTTCAATATGGGTTAACCTTTCTTCTTTGCACCTTTCATATTACTTTGCATATAAAATATGTGTGTGAAAATGAAGTTTTACTAAATAAACTGTGCATGAGAAGTGTATGATTTAAAAATACATTTTAATTTCCCAATTTAACAGCAGTATGTAATTCTCCTCTACCTGCACTAGCTGCCTAAAAAATTATCAGCAGCAGCAATTGCGACCCATCACACGAGGCTGGGATTATTAAAGTCGGGCTAATCAAGCTGCAATAATGGGCAGTGGTGGGGAGCCACTGTGAGCCACTGCTCTCAAGGCTCGGTGTGCTCCTGGCTGCAAACCCAGACTACAAAATCTGGAAATTAAACTGGACTATTTTATTCCCATTTATTGTCACCAGTGCCTCTTCTTTGTGGGCCTAAAATGTTTTTATATATAATTTCATTGGTCTGAATTTTGCCTGTTGTATAAGTAAATGAGAGCAGCCTCGCTAAGTGTGCTTGAAATTTGAGAAATGAAGTGAAAATGAAATTAAGAGAAAGAAGGAAGAAAGCCCAGCTGTGTTGATTTTACAGGTTGTTACAGTAGTCCTAATTTTTAGCACAAAAAAGCACAGGTCTTTTGAGCAAGAAGATGTCACTTTCAATTCACAGCTTTTCAAGATGAACTTACATTCAAATAATACACTTAAGTCCTGTCTTTGACCTGCAGCTAAGAATACATTTCTTTCTAAATCAGAATTTTACATGCAGGCTCCTGTGGGAAATCCACTGTTAACTCTGGAGCATCTCCAGTTGGTTGTAGTTTTATACCAGGACAAAGCAATAAAAATCCTTCTGCAGCTTGGGAAGATACAGAGCAATTTTGTTGGTGAATAAAACTGAAAAGCATTTGACATTTTAAAAACACAAATCTTCCTGAGCAGATACAAAGCTTCCGTGCAGCAGAAATGGTTTCTTCTCTCTTGGTGTTATTTTTAATACACAGAAAAGTGATGGAAACCTGAATGTGAAGCCCTCACATACTCAGGTTTCCTCCCAGTGCTTCAGCAGTATTACAGAGTCAAAGAAGCACTGTCTTAGTGGAAAAAAATAAAAATCAAGTGCTAACCAGAAGCACCAAAACCAATGCCTTTAAAAGTTACATTTTCAGTTCCACTCTCTTCTGTGAATTGGACAAGACCACAATTGCACAATTAACCATGGACCTTACAGAGGAGCTGTGTTTAACATTAATTTTTCTGGATGCAGCCATTTCAGGCCACAGGTGAAAATATTCACAAAACAATTTTTTTTTTTTTCATCCAATTAAACTTCTCCAACTGGGCCAAATCCCACAGGCCACCATAACATAGAACAGAGCTGATTTATCTTGAGGGCATTTTTATCAATGGCTGATTACTCCAACATTCTCCAATTCACATTTGTTCAACCATCAGTGTGATTCCCCAATCTGTATTTTACAGACTCACAAAGAAAGACAGAAGAGCACAAAAGTAGTTTGGACAAAAAACCCAACCTCCAACTTAAACAAACAAAAACTCCCAGCAGACAAAACCACACAGGATTTGTTCCCCAAATTCTTTTCCTGTCCCTTTGCCTGGTGGGTTTTATCATCTTCATTTCCCTGCTTGTGCACAGAACTGATTTCTAATGCTATAAAAGTAGCATCAAAGCAATGCCAGACTTTTTGAAAAGTTCTATTGCCCAAGAAGTCCCTTCTGAAATATTTTCAACAACAGTGACATCAAAAAAAGGAAATTCAACTGGTTTAATAGCGAGTAGAAGATCTAGTATATGATTTTTTTCCATACATGAACTTTACCTTTGCTTTTGTGATGTATGATTTATGAGCTCGAAGGCACCAAGGGAGGGTCCAAGCCTAGATCCAAGCACTGTCAGTCTCCTGCCTTCTCACAAGGGGCCACAGTGAGCCCAGATGGGCCTGGAGAGTCACTCCAACATCTTTTCACTATGATTAAATATATTAGTTAAAAATATAAACCAGACAGTTTTCCATGCGAGGATGAACAACCACAAAGAAAGCCTAATAAATGTCACTCTAGTAGTTTGTCATATCAAGTAATTTCAAGTTTTCAGGAAACTTCAAAGTGAGAAGAGCAGCCATCTCACTGCCTGAGGCAGCCTCGAGATCGTGACAAGAAGCTGAAATGGGCTGGAAGATTGAAACTGATCTTCAGAGAGACCCAAACCTGCCAGGATATTTCACTCAGGGGTTATTCTGCAACACCACAACTCAGCCTGCCTCAAGCACATGCAAACGAAAGACAAACCCAGGCTACTCAGAGGTACAGACTTCTGTCTGTCTCACCAAAGTGGTTTTGCTGAGGTTTTCCCCCTCACATTAATTTTCCACTTCAGACTAATTGCTTTCTGTGAGTCTTGGGCACGCTCTCCATCCTTCCACCCCAACACAGGGAGCAGAGCCCAGCAGAGGCAGCGTCCTCTGAGGGACTGGCAAGTCCAGCAGGAGAAACCAGAGTCCCCACAGCTCCTGAGGACTTCCCATGGGGGAAGAGGGGCAGAAATGTGGTGCCCTGAGCAAACTGAAAAGAAACCTGCCTGTCTGTTATTTACACAACAGAACAAATGGGAAAGCTGGCTTGGCTGGCTTTCAAATTTGTGTGCTTGCTGAACATGTGGAGAAGCACAAGCTCCACACACACTGCTCTGGCTGCTCTCCCAGCACTGCCAAAAACCAGAGCCTGGAGAGACCAGGCAAAGGCTCAGTTACCAAAAGGTGCAGCAACTTCTCTTGCTGCTCAGCTGCTGTGTGTGCAGGGGGGAGGAAGAGAGAGGAAGAGGAGCAGAGGAGCTGCAGCAGAGCACAGAGGCTGAGCTGAGCCTGCTGTCAGGGACAGCATCTGCCTGGGCAGCCCGAGGTGCTGCAGTCCAGAGACACAAACCTGCTCCCAGCATAAGAATCACATGAGGCACATAAACCCCTCTTTGACCCCTGTTCTTGCTCAAGGCAAGATTTTGGGTATCTCCCCAGAGGTGTCCCCTGGCTGCTCTGTGGGTGTCCCTGCCCAGCACTATTAAAGGTTGTGCCCTCTGCCACTGCTTCTCACATTGCAGCTTTCTTCAGCTGCTTTTGTAAACTGCTTTTGTAAGCAGCTAAAGCTTTATGTCCTGTAAAGGTGTGTGGGAAACAGAAGAAACCAAAACCAAAACCCACCTACTTTTTTAAAGTGATATAATGTTTGACTATGGAGAACATTAAGTGAAGGCTCCCGTGCTGCTTCTGAACATATAATTAAATGCTTTTCTGTCTGCAAGAAAGCTTTTTGCATTGGAAAATCACTCCTAGGAACTGATGGCCACAAACGTTATGCAATGAGCTTTCACAGCTCTGTAACCTCAGTGTTAACTCGAAAACTCCAGAGAAATCAAGCTCACCCCTAAAGCATGGCTACGTCAGGTTCCCACAAGCAATTTATCTTTTGAACATCAGGCCAGCACAGAGACTAAAGAGTGTTAGCACCGAGGCACACCTGAAAAGACTAAGAATAGTGGCATTTCTCGAGTGCCTTTCATGTGAGGAAGTCAGAATGTGAAACGAGATCCGATCCTGCTGCACAGGCGCCTCTCAGCTGCTGCCGCACGCACGGGAAGCAAAAAGGTGAACCAGGTGGGCAGCAGCCAAGCACTGATGTACTTCAGGCCCTGCAAGGTGATTCTGTGCTCCTGCAGTGGCACAATTTATTACCTTTTGCCCCTTCAGTCAAAGGTTTTGCTTTCATTTATTTCATTTTAAATATATATATATTAAAAATAAAAAAGAAGAAACGCTGGCAGTACTCACTGCAGCATATGGCGTGACAGAGGGATCACCAGAGCCAAATTCATGCTGGACCTGTAGATTTTAAATTCATTCTTTTTTTAATCACTGTCATTTCTGCCTCACCAAGAGGTCCTAGGAATGGCACTGCTTTCTCCAGCACCCACTGCTCCAAGGTGAGGCCCCATCCTGCCAAGAATGAGCTCAGTAACTGAGTCAGACCTGCTGTATGTCTGTAAAGGAGCACCAGGGTGACATCCACATTGTCTCATTTGCACCAGCTGACACCCTTCCTGCAGAAACCCCTCAGCCAGCACCTTTCACACCATGCCCACTGTCCCTGGGAGCGCTGCCTGCGCTGAAGGGCACCGTGCTCACTCATTTAAAGCATGAAAGGCAGAGCTGTGGGGAGGCAGGGCACACCTGCAGACCTCATGACAAGTGTCAAAGCTTGCCCATGAAGCAGGTGTTTTGAAACAAGCACATCCTGCTATTTAGCTTCTCCTCAGCCCAGCTCGATGC